CGAGCAGAAGCGCAGGACATTGAGTCAACATTTATGAGATTTCTTTTGGCACTCCTCGTTCCCACTTGCTTTCAATTGCATTTGAAGTTGGTCTATCTATCAATAGTATCGATACATACACGGGTATACGATCGCGCTAATAGCTAGCAGGAACCTTCTTTGATGCATATGCAATATGCATTACATATCGGCCAATTGGGCGTACAGCAAGCATGAGTCATGACATCCAGCTCTCTCCCGCTCCCTCGTATTGTGTGCCTTTCTCTTCTCGCTCTACTTATCCCTCTGCATCGCCATTAGCTGCACGAATATCTCTGTTAGCTACCAAATTGAAATACTTAAATGCTTAATGACACTGGTCAACACGACATCTGCGCCAGCCAAAGTCGGTATCTAACGGAGTTAGATATTAAAATTTAATTATACAATTTAAGCTTGAAAGCTAAACCAAAGTGGCTGCAATGTTTTCAGCACCGCAAATAAATGCAATACAATCAGATGACAGATACTTAATTCTATAATTCATTAAATAACAACAAAATTCACAGCAAGAAAAAAGTTCAATTTTGTTGACTAGTGTAACCAAAAGAGAACAGGCGATAGTCGGACCCCGGACCCCGGACCCCGAACCACGTTGCTCTGGCATCATAATGACAACGGAGGCTGAGTACCGCTTGAGGGTGAGTTCCGTTGAAGCGTTGGGATTGGGGTTGGGGGATGCGCAATGCAATTGTAATTTGCAATTGTGCGGCACATGAATTGCGGGTGATGCTCTGGCCTGTCCGTAGCTATCGCAAGCTCGATGTCAATGTCGATGCCGAAGCCAGTTGTAGACAGATAATGTAGCCACTGAATGCACATCCGTGTGTACGTATTCCCTTCGGCCACTGCGGAACTCCACTGCGAGCATCATTTGTGTGAAGGGCCGAAGCGAAATTAAATACACAATTACCATCAAATTTGAAGTGAGCGCCGAGAATTGATGGACATCAGCATCAGCATCAGAGAGAGGGGGGCTCACATATTGTGTGCGGGGTGGGCGGTGGGTCCTTGAATGTTCAATCGGAACAGGAACTGTCACGCATTGTTATCTTGTTCCTTAATTGTCGCCGGGGGCCCAACCCAGAGGCCAGGCAGTCGACAGCTGCACCTCTAATTACGCTCCATTATACTCCTCGAAGCTCCAGCCATGTCCATGCTTTACGGGAGAGAGGATGAGAGTCCCCATGAGGACCAGCATGTACATACATACGTACATACACTATGTGGGCCATGGCTAATTTATGCGCATATGTTATTGGCAATAGCCGCACATTACTCAACCAAAAATATGCAATCAAAACCGTTAAGACAGCATAATGGGGAGGCTTAAAGGGAGAAAGGAAGATGGAACGATAGACACTAAAGAAAGCACAACAATAATTGCAGACGAGAAGGGACGTGTGAGACGCTTCTTACGCGTCACAACTTAGCGGTCAAATTTAACATATTTTCCTCATCTGTCATCTACATCAACAACACTACTCACGCCAACAAGCTCCTTTAGCTCGCCACCCTCCCCTAGAGCCACACACTGCAGAGTCAGGGCAGAGACGTGTCTGCGCGAAGCAGAGTGTAAATGAGAGAATGTGAAAAAAAAACAAATATAAGCTGCGGGACTGGGTGGGTTTATAGTAGTGGACTAATAGTAATGATCCAATCGGATCCCAATTCGGTGATCTGATAGATATGGTCTTTCCCTACGGAATGGGAGGTTTTCGCCCTTTTGCGGGGGCGTGGCTCATTTTTGAAATACACTTGTAACAGTGTGAGCATACAGAAGTCTGGATGCAAAATTTGATGGCTCTAGCTCTTATAGTCTCTGAGTACTAGGCGCTCATTAGGACGGACAGACGAACGGACAAGCAGACATGGCTCAATCGACTCGGCTATTGATGCTGATCATGAGGCACTCAGTGTCTCCCACTGAATGGTGGATGGGGGATTGAGAGGCATGGGGCATGGGGAGGCATGACTGTCCAACCCGTTGACATGCTTATCGATCGCTCGGACTAGAAGGCCTATGAATCATTTGTCAAGTGTTTCACAAACCCACACTGAATATGCAAATTGCTTTGGCCCTCCTGCTCTCTCACTCTCACTCTTTCGGATCGGTGAATAGGTCCGTGAATGAGTGCGCACAAGTGTGAATAATCATGTGAATAAACCAGGCAATTGTATCTATGTTTAGGCAACTGAAACCGAACATTAAAGCAGCAGTTCCAATGCTCGCATGATACATATATTCATATTCGTATGATCCATAATCAGCGTCCATGAATAAATGCCTTTGAATTAAGTTTAGCAGTAATAAGTGACCCATAAGTGAACGGCAACTCATGCCCAGCACTCTGGGCCATAAAATTGCCAGAGGAGGCTCCCGTCACTGTTTTATCAGGTCACCGGAGTGATTCTGGGGTATGCCATGCTGCGGCTTAGCCATCGAACAAAATATAAAAGCAAAGGCAGGACACTCCATTCCTTTCCCTGGATGTTTGTGGGGTGCTTGCAGTTTGACGTTTCCTGCAAGAAAACATTCCGCTGCTTGTAGAGGTAATGGATCGCACGGCTAATAGATTAGTTGTCTGCTCAAGCAGCAGCTTGAAACCATGCTTAAGTGCTGTGAAGACATGGGAGAATGCAGCTTGAGGTCATTAATACTTCACTAAAGTACTTCACAGTAGGTGAAGCTTGCTAAGAAAATGAATATAATTAAAAGGAACTTATTGTGTAGCAATGTAAAGGATATACAAAAAACTGGTTCTGAAATTCCCAATATATCCCAAACGAAAACGAGAAAAGGCTAAATAACTTTCGTATGAATGGGATCACATTGGAGGGCATTTCGACTTTGGCCAAAGAGTGTCAGCATGTTCCAAGTTGTGGGCCAAATGAAGAGGGCCGCCAACGGGGCGTGTAAGCAGCCTAAAGTGAAGAGCACAACCTTCGCCTTGGTCCCATGGTCCACGGTCCACGGTCCACGGTCCATGGAGCTGCCACTTGCTTTCGCCCTTTATCCGTTTTCTTTTTCAGCATTTTGTCAAAAGCCCGCCAAAGGGAGCCGACCCGTGGCCTGATGGGAGGGGGGCTTAAAAGCAAAGTTATGTCGTGTCCCAGCTCCGAGCTGCGAGCTCGAATGCATTGCATCAATTAGGCGCCCACATGTAGACAGTAAAAAGTCAACGACTGGCGCAAATGGTCAACAAGGAGCAGCTGAACGGAGGGCCAGGTGAGAGCGGACAGAGCTTAGGCCTAAGCCTCGACAGGATTACAAACACTCTCCACTCAGCCAGGCCAAAGTCAAAGTCCAGGACATTCGATGCAATTGAATTGAAATCCAGATCCAAACCAAGTTAGAAACGGCCCGAGGATGAGGGTCGACTGCCTGGCAATTTATTTGCCAGATCCCAAAATATATGTATATATGTACGGGCATGTATGTACATATGTAAGGAAATGTGTTGCTCGTTCGCAATCAGCAAATGGCAGCGCCCGACCATGAGAGCATTGAAAACGATAATTTAGTGCCAGGCCCCAACAAAAAAAAACAAAAAAAAAACAAAGCCCCCGGGAGGAAGGCGGCAGGAAGGAATCCAGGAATGTGCCAGTCTCTAAATATCTTCCGCATCGATAATTAAATGAACACTCAGTGAGTGCGGCTGCGGTCGACACACAAAAAAACATTCAAAGTAAGCCCAAAATATTGCCGAAACAGGGAAGGGTCGAAAGGGTAGAAAGGGTAGAACTGCTGAAGATGCAAATCGAGGCGAATTGTTTGTTTGGACTGGGCAACGATTTGCATTTCCTTTGTCACGTTAATCAACCACTTTCACTTGTTGGCCAGAAGCAAACAGAAATCAAATTGACTTTATTTGTTTGGGCACAATCCACGATGCAACGGGAAGAGGATTAACTTTTAAGCTCTCTTTCAATTGAAAGTGCACCAAATGAATAAAGTTGGACCAAAAGAAGGTCTCAGTTGAGTGCTTATCAAAAACAATTAACGATGAGACGGCGATCGATTGAGGCGTGCAGTTTGCATCCAAACACTCTTCTGCCATCAAGTTGAAGTTATTTTTTGTGGCATTGCTGGGGAGCTTTGGCAGGCAAAGGACATGCCAGCAGGCAAAGGCTTGAAGACGTAAACTAAAATGTAAATGAAATTGTCGTCTATGAACACAGCAACCCCAACCCCACCACGTAGGGTTAAATGGGTGCGGACTTGCCAGCGTCCTTCGTCCTTCGTCCTTCGTCATTCTGGCGTTGGCTAGGAAAATGTCACGGAAATAGCTGGGAGATTAGATTGATGAGTTTCCCAGCTAAGCCAACTGTCTTGCTCCTTTGCCAAATATTGTTCACTGCCTGAGCTGAGCTGACAGGACCAAGCCAGTAGGCAGTAGGCCTGCTCAGTGCTTGCCAAGGATGGGGCCTACTCCCCATGCAGCGTCGCGGAGGAGGCGAGAGCTTGGCCAGGCTCCAGGAGACGGCTCAGGCCGGCATCGGTCTCAGTTTTGATTATACGCCAACATAAGTTTATTGCGGCTCCGCCATATTCCATGTGTGCTATCTGCGCCTGGGTCTGACAACTGTAATTAATTTAATTAGAGCTCCCCTCCATCGCCACCGCTCCATTCTCCTCAAGAGAGATTCAGTTGCCAGGCGGATATGTTGACGGGACGCGACAAGAAACGAAACTATGGCAAGGTCGCTGCTGAGACCACTGATGGGCCACCAGGTTACCCTGTAGTCTGCTGGTCTTTAAAGCTGTTCATCTCGCCTGTAAATACCAACTGCCGAGAAGCTATTTAAATCCAATACTCATTCAAGTCATCACTGTGGTGGAGTTTCTTTTGGTCTGTGGGCACTCGCAATACCCTCGAATATCCAAGCACCAGGACACCTCGCATGGCCAGGGCCATGGCAGGGCGAAAAACCAAAGCAAAACAAAAAAGGCGGCAAAGAAAAAATAATGTCCAACATTATCGTTGACATTTATTAGCCTCAACTAAGTGAAATTGTTTGCTTTTGCCCTTCTCCAGGCTGTTGCCTCTTTTTGTTTTTGGCAACACCCTTCCGTATGCCATATGAAATATTCATACGTGTGCGTGTGTGTGTGTGTGTGCGAGTTGGAATTGTAGGTGTGCCTGGGTTTTGTCACGTTTTTCGGTGAGGCAGGATGAGTGCAGGAAGTCGACAGAGATATTGTTTTGGTTATTCCACTAGCCTCCCCCAGCACACATTTTATTTGTCGCCAAAACTTTGCGTGTTTATGGTTTATGCACACCTTCAACACGCGCACACACACACGCACACACACACACACACACAGAGAGTACTGGCTAAGGATTTGCTTTAAGGACATTGCTTTGGGGTTTTTGTGGGTTCTTAAGTGAGTGTTCCAATACTTACTCTTCGAGTGCCTCTTCAGGCCTCCCTCTGCTTGGATCATATCTTCAGCCAGCCATCGGCCTTGCGGAGTTCACTTCTTCCGTCTCTCTCTGAGAGTTGACTAACTGAAACTTGATTTAAGGCGCTTCTCTATCGGATGGAATCCAGTTGACGCCAATTCGGCATGCCCCTGACCCTGACCCTGCCCACGCACCATGCAAATGTCGCTGCCAGCTTGTGCTCGTGGCTGTGTGAGAGTTTCGCTCTCATTCACTCTCTCTCTCTCTCTCTCTGGCTTTCGGTATACACATCCTTATCAGACGCCTTAAAGTTCTGTTCAGTAGCTACAGCTCTACAGAAATGTGAATAAATAACTGTGATCCAATGTGAAGCAATCTTTGAGAACTAATCGTCAAACAAGACGCACGAACGGCATGTTTTACCCCACAGTTTGAGTGAGAAAGTTGTCAGCGTGTCTTTGCACTCTTACCCCGAATATAAACACTCTAACTGCTCGCCTTCAGCTTTCAGCTCTTGCACGCAGAATGGATCCAACTCCAAGAAGTTAAACTCATTTGGCTGTGGCCAGGGAAACTTCCACATACCGAATATACAGTTTGTGTGCCCCAAATCCAAGTATAGACTTCAATAAATCCTTGACCCTCATGAGCAGAAAACGCCTCTCGGCTCCTATTCGTCCTCGTGCCCTGTCCCTTGTCATTTTTTGTTTTGTTTCCAGAATTGGCTAAAGTTTTAATGATATAATTGGCCAAACAACAGAGAGTCGACCCCGGATGCCCGAATCTATACCCACGCCACACTCGCGGAGAGTATTTTGGTACAAAATGTGCACAAATTTATGAAAATAGCTGCAAGTATTTTTGTGTGCGAGTCTCGCTCCTGCGACCTAACCAACTAATGAAAACCTTTAGCGAAAGGCAAAAAGTGTGCTCCAACTGGATACACCACGGGGTGTGTGTAGCTGTGGGAGAGCCAGCATAAATATGTTTGTTTCTCTGAGGAAACTCTTCAAATATTGGCAGTAGGGTATCAACCGTTCGTACACCCCACACAGGCGAGCTCAAACTTTGTGTCATTTCACCGGGATGAACGGGGAAATGGCAGCTCTGTGCGTGAACTTTTCGGTGTCCATCTCCGGCCTGGGTCTCATCCAGCGCCAATTCCCCAACGACAGTTTAGTGCATTAAAGCGGCACCGGCTTAAAGTCTGAAAAGAATTGCTCGGGTTTTCGGGTTGGCCATGGGGCACTGCTGAGAAGCATCGATGGGTTACTGTGGGTTAAAGATGGTGGCATGTGCCACGAATATCTATCTATTCTTTCACAGAGAGAAATTCATAGTATGCCGGAACTACTCTGGGTACACTGTGACTGTGTGACTTTACATTCCTTGCGATTGCTGTGCAATACATTATTCAAAACATGGACGAGCCTCGGTGGCTCGTATGCCAATGATACACCAACACTCTGGGGCACACCTTGTCTCTACTTTCATGCGGAATGTATTGCAGCGCCGAAAGGTTGAAACCCAGCTGAGACTGCCAACAAATGACTGACTAAACAGTCCGCGAATTTGGTGCTGCATAATTTTGAGAGCCACAGATACAGATACAGATACAGATACAGATACCCACACACATGGACAGGAGCACAGAGAGCGAAAAAGGGCAAAGGGAAAATGTGAAATGTGAAATGTGAAATGTGAAATGTACTTGGCAAAATGCGCGAAATTACGCAAATAAAATTTACATAAGCAAATTGCATAAAATCATCATACAGAGCAGGACCCCAAATACACACACACACACACACACACAGAGAGAGAGACTGAGTGTGTACACAATATAATTATGTTGATTCATTTATGTTTAATTAACTGCGCACCGCGTATTTATAGATATAAATGAAACATTCAGCCAACTGCCAGGCGTCTATACGGGCCAGCAAATGAGATTTTCCATTCGAATCGAAATTGCACTTTTAGATAGAAATTGAAATTGAAATAGAAATAGAAATAGAAAAATGTGCTGTCCCCTGGCACACACTGATTGAGCTTCACAAACAGGAAGAGGCTGAGCCGGGGGCTGAGCTGTGCCACCCACTTAATAGCCAGAAAAAGTGTCAAAGAGAGAGTGCCAGTATGAGTAATGTTTTAGGCGAAATACATTAATCGAAAGCTCTCGTACTGATGAGAAAACATAACCAAAAATGAACCAAAAACTGTTCAGCAAAGGAACTCATGCTCTTGATTAAGCATTTAGACAATCAAATATTACGCACTTCAAATATTCCCTTCAACAACCAATCGACCCATCTACCAATCATTTCCAATCTAAGAACGGAAATAACTCCACTCTAATAGCTTGCAAATGTATCAGACAAATGAGTGCATGAAACCATTTAGAGGAACAATTTAATGTTCAAGCTGCTTTGCTTATCTTGGCACTCGCCTCCATTTCCACTTTCTGGCTGTCATCGTCTGTTCGTGTGCGTATTTGTTTGTGCGGAAGGTCATGACACACATTCGACAAAGAGGAGCGACCTGTCTACCTGCTCCTGCTCCTCCGACGAGAGTCCAGTGGGGCCTTTGTTGTTTTGGTTTTGGGCTTGATTAGACTCCAACCTATGCATGTCTGTGTCTGTGTGTGGGTGACCTTGCAGTTGGCCCGGACTTGGACCGGGGCCAAGTCAAGTCAAGCAAAAGAGCGCGACCATAAAAGTGCCCTTTGGAAATGATATCAGAAATAGAAACGACCAGATAAAACAATAAGTGTGCGGAATTGTCCTGATAATGTGCAGAGGCCATGGCCCCGTATTCACGGAATGAATATTAGCCAATTATTTATTAGTTTGTAACCAATAGCCAGGCAGGGGGAAAGTTGTGATCCTGCCGGATCTTGGATAATAATAGGAAAAGCCAGGAGCAGAGAGACCCGGCTGCCCGGCACCTAAAATACAACGTAAATAGTAATTAATAAGGAACACAAAAAGGGACAACGCCAAATGCGAATGGGATAAAAATAGGAGCAAAAGTTAGGAAGCTCTGCGACCCATCCATCCTCAGGGACCGACTGGGACCATCCACCCACCATCCACAGTGCGCCCACTCTTTCCGGGCAACCCCCTGTGAGCGGCGTTACCCGGGACACACTCATGCAGGGAAATAAATGGCGACAGGCGCTTTTAATGACGCAGCAGCAAACACTCGGAAGGCGTCGACCCACTTGCCTCAGCGGGGAATTTCGGTCAGTGTATGTGTGTGTGTGTGTGTGTGTGTGTGTGTGTGTGTGAGCTCAGCAGCTGTTAAATATTTGCTTAGTTCTTTTTGTTTTTGGCTTTGGCAAAGCATTTGAAATGGAATGTATTAATAATTGTCAAATGTTTAATTAGCCAAACGAACATAACCCGTTAGCCAGCGAAATGAAGGAATAGACAATGCAAAACAGACACACACACACGCACACAAAGACAGCGGAACATTTTACCGGCGCCAAAAAGATGCGTAAAAAAAGAGGCATCTCTTTCCACCCACCCAGCCAGCAGCTACCTCAATGTCTCCCCTTATTACGCTCCATCTCCGAAGACCCACTTCGCCACCCCCCCCCCCCCCCCCCCCTCCCACGTTACCCCTCCACAACCCACACACAGCTGTGGTGTTCTAGGCACTGCATTAGAGAAAGGGTATTTTGCGCCTGGGACATTTCCACTGAGCACGCGAGAGAGAGAGAGAGAGTGCGAGCGCAAGAGAGAATTGCCCTCGGAATGGGATTTCGTACAAGTTGCATGCGATAAATGTGTCGCACTGCGATATATTCGTAGAGTCCATCGCTTGGCACTCACACACAAGCTGGAGATGTCAAATTAATTAGGCTTAATAATATCTATCAGTATATGGTGAAATATTTAAATAGAGCAAACAAATATTCAAGCTGCTAAAACACATTCAATTGAATTGAATCAAATTGAAAACTACTTGGTGATCCACAGCTGCAAATATTTGCAACTTAATTAAATATTTTATTTTATTGCATGCGATAACAGATAAAATAATACAAAAAAACAGTCGAAAAATGAGGAAAAACTGAATTTTAAATTGTGAAAAAAGTCAGCATTAGGTTTATATTTATGGTTTAGTGTTCAGATTTCTGCCTTTTGGTAATTCAATTATGTACATTTTATTTTTATATTTTCTTTGGCATTGCCTTAGCTAGGGCCATGCCGAGCACTGATGTATTAAATCACATCATTTAAACCACATTAAATTGAAATTGAATATTCTTCATTCAGAGATTTCAGGAAACGACAACAACAAATACTAGAAAAGATGTAGGATGAAGCGCAAAAAAAGGAGCAAAACAATACAAATATTATCAAGAATATTGGCTAGAAAGAGAGGGCTGAGAGAGAGGGAGTTTTATCAACAAAAATGATAAATAATTCGTTGGAAAAGAGATTTTTGAATACTTGCCATAAAGATGCCCAAAGGAGGAGCGAAAACAAAGCTATCAGAAAGCAATTAATGGCCAGGAACCAGCAAAGTTGCACATTAATCTGCTCTTGATGTAAAGTGCATAATAAAATTGTAGAAAATTTAATTATGCGCAATTAATGCGCATTAAATGCATTCGGCAACAACAGCCACCGATTGATCCGGGCAGGGTGCGGAATGTGCTGGCTGTGGCCTTGGTCGGGGCCATGTTCTTGGGCGTGTCTATTGATATCAGCTAATTGACTGCCATCAGGCGGCAGGACCATCAAGCAGATGGCCCGGCATTTGCTCGGTCAACTGCTAATTAACATTCCCAGTTGGAGCCCCGCAGCAGTCCAGTGGCAGCGGTGGAGAACGTGGATTACATGCATGGCAGGGATAATCCAAGGCAAATGCCCCTACACAGAGCACAACAGGGCAGAGTAATTAAATGAGTAATAGCTGTCGTCCCCTCAGCAAGGAGTCTGATCAAAATAATACGCTATGCTCTTTAAATTCTATTAAATCAGTGAAATACACTCACAAATATGTTAATATATTGCTCAAGCAAAGTCTTCTATTTGGTCTTTCATCTGTTGCAGCTGAATGGAACATTGTAGGATTGTAAGCCTCAGCAATGTCCTGGAAGACACCTCTATTGTCGCTGCTAAACCAGAGTCACCGCGTCAGACGATCTTTCGCACACGAAAGTTTGGGTTTGTCGGTCTGTTTGCTGAGCCTCCAAGGGAACTTTCTCTAAGCCAGAAATGGGCCAAAGTACTTAGCAACTGCATTATGAAACATTTATGATTTTCACGCACAGATTTCAGATTTTGTTTGAACTGCGAGTATTTCCGGCCTACCAGCCCACAAACGAGTGAAACTTTGCAAGCAGCCAGCAGGAGGCTAACTTTTGCCCACTGCACACATAAACATGTCGGCAGGGCTGGGCCGGAGGTCGCTGCTGTTTGACCCCCATACAACATTGATCGGGAACCGAGACGGAGGGAAAGTGTCCAAGCCAAAGCCAAAGCCAAAACAATGGCATAGGTCATTTTTAATTGCCTTTTATCGAGCGCCATGAATGGGGGATATTTCTTTGGTAATTGGAAAATACTTTGCTGCCATTTGGACTCCTGTCCGGCCCACCACTCACCCACTGCACGGCACTCTGCTCTGCCCTGCTGGCTCTTTGTTTCCCATCCTGCTGGTGCCACGCTCAAATTATTAGTGTCATTTGTTTTTTGGGGCTCTGAAAAATGACAAGCGCCACCGCATAACGGACATGACAGGAGAGGACAGGACAGGACTGCCTACCTCTCACTCCCCTCAGTTTGATCGCTCTGCCGCTGGCGCTCATTAGCGTGGCGGCCATAACAAGTAGCCGACCCGTTGGCTCCACGCTTGCCCATTGACCATTGGGCTAACTTAGGCAAGTTACTTACCTGAACCCACCAGCCCCCTGATTTATGGCCTTAGCCACCATTAATCAAAGCCAGCAGCAGGCAAGCAGGCTCCTGCAGCGGCAGGCCGCAGCGACAGGACCTCGGTTTTAGAGCGTGGCTTGATTGAAACTTGCTCCGGCTGGAAGATGGAACATTCTGAACATTCAATGTTTGTAAATTGCCTGCGAAAACTTGCCTGTGCTGAGATTGCAGGTGGCTGAAATATGACTTTGTTTATGGCTTGTCCATAATTATTACTGCCACCTAAAGAGGGAAAAAAGAGCAGACAAGAGGAAGGTGTTCCTGTGTTCCTGTCTCTTGTAAGTGGGGAAATTGTGTGGCGCAGTGCCCATACCTTTGCTTGTTGGCATATTGACGGGGCGCATATTTTTTCACGATTCCCAGAGACCGAAACGAGACGCTCCCTGCCACAGGCGCACAGTGGCTCGGGTTGCGGCATGCAAGTTTAAAATTTCACTAAATAATTGAAGGCTTCAAACTGACCTGGAGGCAGGCTTAGTTGTCTCTTCTCTCTCTCCATCTCGGGTGCTTTCCTGTGGCGCTTTGTTAGGCAGAGAGTCGAACCACTGTGGCCTGCATTTGCATATGTTCCTCATGCGTAAGATGATTGCTGGCCAGGAAGGGGCGAGGACGCGGAGGACGCGGAGGACTTGGAGGACGCAGTTGTGCGAGGAGTGCAGTTTGTTTGTCTTGCACTTGCGACTGTCGCAACAGCTGTCCGGACATTGTCGCATTGATGAAGCACTGCCGGCAAAATGGCAATTGCAAAGGCAAGGACAAGGGCAAGGGCAAGGGCTTGTGGGCTGAAGCCTGATGGAGCATGGAATGGATAGGATTTGAGTGTAAGCCCTGTCAAAGGATATCACATCCATCAGGCAGCACCATATGTTGTCGCCTTGCCACTTGCCAACTCGCAAAGAACAAAAACCAACAAAATGGGAAAACAAAAAAGAAACCAGCCACATGAACAGCGTTTTGAATTCATTTCGGGGCCAATCAGCCAGTGGCATTTTTGCTGCGATCAAAGATCGATCGGCGGGCAAATCGATCAAAGTTTTCAGTAACGGGAAACGGGAAACCAATCCAATTATTTGGATCTATGCATTTATGGCTGGTTATCCGACGGCACACATGCGGGAGGAGGCTGAGGGACGTACTTACTAGACGGCACATAAATCGTCCTGTCCCCTGACGACATTTGACAGCGACACTCATACATATGTCACCCTGCTGCTCCCCCCTGTACGGGGTCTTGTTTTGCATTTCATGTTTAACATTTTACAGCAGCGAACAGTTTGACAGTTTTTGTTATTTATTATGGATAGAAAGTGGCATAGAAAAACGCAAAGAGGATATGTTTGTGGAAGGGCATGCCCGAAAGTTCAACTATTCCAACTCCAAGTGCAGTCCTCGTTCTGCGATAATCTGTGCCAGCTCTCAAGCAATTGCAGTGCTTAAATGTTTCCTTTGTTGTTATTAGCTTAAGTTGCCAAAAGAGCACGAATATTTGCACATTTATGGAGACAGCAATTGGGCAGCAATTACAATGGAAAATGTGTGGAAAATGAACGGCGAACTGCAGTCGTTTGAGTGCTCAACTCCATGCATGTCGATGCATGTCGAGAGAGCGACGAGCACTTAGTAACGGACACGACCCAGAGCAGGATCTGCAATTACAGTCGCACAAGTGGGAGGGCAGTGGCAAGGAAGGATCCATAAAAAGGGCAAGTATCATTGATTATATTTAATAAAAGAGCGCAGCATCCGTGTATGCTGAGGCACACACACAAAGTAGGGTTGTCCAGGGACATGGCCAGTGCATTTGCATTTAAATTGTGAGGGAATCGGATGGGGGTCAGGGAGCCCTCAAGTACACATGCCACATACAATAAACATGAAATGCATTTTAGCCGTTGTGTGCACCCATGGAACAAAATGCCCAATTTGCTCAACGTACACATGTCCCACTCGAATGCCTAAAATGTTTCCCCGCACAGGGCACACACACGTGGCACGCATTCGCATTCGCATTTGCAATTTAAACTTGAATGCGCATAAATTAGTGGCGCACTCCAGCAGTGATGACAGTGCCAGGACAGGACAGAGAGTGCCATAAGGCGGCAGATATCACAGAGCACAGGGAGCATCACCGGGTTGAGATGCAGCCGCACAAATGGCAGTAACAGATATACGGAAGCTGCTTGGCCCCAACTGATGTTGGCCAAACATTCAACAAACCGAGAGTCCATAATGGGGGCTCAGGAGTGTAGGCATTGTGGATGCTCAGAGCCTAAGGCAAACAAAGAGATGCCTAATGAAGCGCACCCTGGATGCTCAGCAGGAGGAATTGCAG